TTTTTCTTTTTTTTTCTTTTTCTTTTTCTTTTTTGTTTCTTTTTCCCTCCAGGGCAGGGAAGACAACCTTACCTAGTATGTCCTCCCAGCACAGGAGGGAATGGAACATGTATTGCAGTGCTTCAGGAGGGGCTCTGGCCAGTCAAGCAATGCTTTTTGAGGTAGCATCTTTCTTTAGAAGCCAGATCCTGAAATAGAAGTTAGACAGACAAGCACCTAAGTTGCAAAGACTCTGAAGTAGATGGGTCACTATTAAGACTTATGTACACAAATAAATTTAACATAACAGCAATACATGTGCTCTTCTAAATGATGGGTCTGCCCATTTCTCAAAACTTGGAAATAGTGTTGCAGGTTCCAAGCTTTTAATTTTGAATTATGCATGTGAAAAAAACAATACTTTCCAAGAGTGGCAGGATCCTTTGTTTAAGGCATGATGGTTCTCCTGTACAGGATAAACATTTTTCAGCAGCTCCAATGCACTGTTACTCCATGCCATTTTCACTTTCCCTAGCTAAATAAATAAATAAATAACCTGGAATAAATAGGATACAATTTTACTCTCTGGATTCTTCTATTTGAGCTGAAGTGCAGAGAAATAAAGATTAGATCAGACTCCTGTTATTTTAAGAGTTATTAAAATTTTAAATAAGTAACATCAGCATGGTTCATCAGGAGCTGAAGAGCTAATTTTGGCTCTGGCAACTGTGGAGTCGGTCTAAAGAAACAAATCAAAGATTGTTCCCTTCAACATCACAGTCCCTTCTTTATCTAGATGGGCAGAAAGTGAAAGGGTAACTCATCACACCAATAAATTCTACAGTCTCCGTCTTCTCCAGGTCACTTTTGTGTGAATCTCTGCAAAGTTGAAAAGGCTCCCTCTTTTGGGGTCCTGGAGGAGACTGGAAACCCTGCAAAGAGCTGTTAAGGGATTTTTTTCCTGCCTTGGAGGATTGAGTGGGAGGGATGACACCCATTCCAGCGTGAGATAGACTAGACCTGTCATTCCCTAACAAGTCTATTTAGCCTTGTCAGAAGCTGATGAGCTAATTAGGGCTCATTAGATGTAGAGGAGTCTATATTTAAGCTCATTTGGGGTTGGTATGGGAAAGTTAATAATATAGGTGGAACTAGAGGGAAACTGCTAAGGCTACAGAGAATCTCTTTCTAAACTGTGCGATTTCCAGATAATCCCAGGAGCAGATTGGGAAGGCAACGTGAACTTTTGTTAGAAAATTGGAAAACAATGGTGTTACTTCCTCAGTTCCCTATTTTATGAATTTAAATTAGAAATAATCTAGAATAAAATATAAATAGCATAGAACTAAGGCCAGCCTCAGAAAATTATACCAGTTATGTTTGTATACCCTCCAGGCTGCTGGAAAATGAACAAGTTCAGTGAGAAACATTGTCATTTTTACAACTCTACGGATCTGCATTAAAAATCTTTCCATTCAAAATATCAATATTCTGTGTCAGAAAAGCCCAACACAAATAATGCATTTATCATTATTGTATAACTTCAGAAATATTTCACCTTATCAGTACAGTCTACAGAACCAGTATGTCTGTGTTTTACTTATAAAAAGGGTTTTGCTGTGTTTGGCCTTTTATGGTCTTCCATTTTCCACAGGATAAAAACATTTTCCTTTGTATTTTCCACCAGGCAAGTTGTCTATTGGGGCAACCACACAACTATTTGCTCTTGTGTTATTTTCTGAACGTTCAACAAGTTTGCATTGCCAGTTTCCAATCCTTTCTGAGAGCCACAGTTGTTGGGTTTTTAACATCCATCCTCCTAAACACTCACTGAGCAGTAGCATTCAATAAGTATTATCAAAGTGAACCAGAACAAAGAATAAGAAGTGATCTGACTAAGCAGTATTAAAGCAAACTGTTTCTGAGTTGGGTGTAGTTGCTGTAACAGGTGAATGCACTCAAGTAGTCAGGGTGAGTTAATTTAAGAGGGGCTGTGTTGATTTCTGGGCTTTCAGATTCCCTGTGCACCAAACCCGTGCTGCCCACTGCACCTCTCCAGGCTCCTCCACATGACATCCAGAACTGCACACAGTTCACTTTTACCTCATTTTACAGCATGACTTCATATGTTACATCAACTGCACAAATGACAGAATCTGGAAAATTAGAGCAAGAATCTGGCCTTAATTTGTACTATGTTCTTTTCCCTCCTTGGGGTGTGTGAGTGTTGGCTTCTGAGTAATTTTTATTTTAATATGAATAATTTCAACAGATATATTTTATCACTTGACTCTTAAGTGAGTTAATGCATCCTATATGTACAAGATATGTCTAGACATTTGTGTTTCTGCTTTCTCAACTGCTATACTACTGTATTTTATGTGGATGTCGTCAAACAGATTAATTTAAACTGGTAGAAGTCCATAAGCATAAAAAACACTATGTCAGGGTTATCAAATAATTTCTTGTGGGTTTGTTTTTCTTAATGAACAAGTTAAGCGAGTGCAATGTAGATGGTTGCTCTTGCTTGCAACTTTAACCCTTTAGAAAAGTGTGTTAATTTAAAGCTACAAAAGCAAGATTCAGAGGTTTGGAGAGAAATATGGTAGAGAATTTTGTATATTTAATGTTTTTTATGTTGTTTGTTATTTGTATTTATATTAAATACTTATTTACAGTTTCTTAAAGTGAGAAAGATTTAAGTATGAATTTGTTCACAGAATCCACCATTATGCTACAATATCATAGGAATTTTAATAAACATCAAGTGAATGAATGAGTTTACTCTGCTTGCTTGCAGGAAATGCAAAAAGAGATCAAATCATATACCTACTACTACAAAAATGTGCATTTTTTTGTAGTGAGCATGCTTGCTGTGTATAGCAAAATATCCATACATGTAGTCTTATTTCCTGTTACTTTCTTATAAATCTGTACATCATCAAAAGCACTGCAAATATTTTCCTTTGATTTACAGACTAAACTAAAATAAAAATGCCTACCAAAATATGCATAATTTTCCCAAATCAAGGATTTTTAGTGCTAAAGCATTCAGCAATGTATATAATTTAATAATGTATTTCTCATCTTCCCACTTGTGTTATTAAATTCATGTGCAAGCAAATTAATAGTGAAATTGGTGTTTTTCTAATTGGTTTCTGAATTTTAAGGGAAAGGTTTTCTTAATTTATTATGTTGTGGATATTCTGTAATCTGGTGTATGTATAAATTATCTAATAAGGAGCTCAGTATTTTGAAGGTGTCTTATGATATGAAAAATGGCCATCTTTTGAAATTATGGGATGCATTATCACAACGCCAGACTCTAATCTGCTACCAATTTGTGTCAGCTTTCTGCATTCAAAAAGGACTCAAATCCTCTCTAAAAGTCGGAATCAGCTGAAGGTTTGTCTTGGCTTCATGAGCCCACTGCAATTAGGCAGCATGTGAATGTGTGCCATATGCATTTATTGCTCTTCTAAGCATGTGTTACTTTGATGTGTTAGGTTAGAAATCTAACTCTTTTTCTTGGGCAGCCTTCCTCCTGGGTCTTTATACTGCTTAGCAGTTGAGTCCAGACTTTGAAACACAGCCTAATTTAGAGGCGGATGCTGCAGCTGCTGCTGTCATTTCAGCTGATTTTTCCCCCTTTGATGTCAGCTTAGAGGCTCGGTGGCTGCATCGGTCCCGCAGCCGCCGCGATCGCCGAACGGCCACCACAGCATTTTAAAGGCCTCTTCGCCTTTAAAAATAATTTGGGCAGCTTGAGCCTTTCACAGTGCACTGCTGGTTTAGGGAAATGCTGAGTTCTCACTGAATATGTCCTTCCTGATCTGGAGGAAACACAGAAAATGCTTTGAGTTATGTTAAATACCTGATTAAATGCTGATTATACACGAAGATGGATTGTTTGTTTTTGGCAGAAGGAGGATGGGATGCCTTGCCCATTCTGCCCCATCCTCTGCATTAGCAGCTCTACATTCTGAAATGAACTTTTTGCTCTGAAAGTTGCTCTCTCCCTTTACAAGACATTATATTAACTGTGTTTGTCCCCTTCTCCATCATTTATTTCTGCAATGATAGTATGTACAAAGATATTCCACCTCAATTCCCCTTGTTCTTGGACCATCCTTGGCTTTCCTTTCTGCTCTCTCTTTCTGTGGCTGACACGAACTCAAGGAGTGCCGGAGCTTTGATCCTTTCTGATGCCTTTGCAGAACAATTTCTCTCAGTGAGGTTCCCTTGCTCAGGCCAAGCCCTGCCCTCAGATGTGCATGCATTTTCCCATTGATTGCAATGAGACTCACAGCCTTCTGAGGCCCCTCTCTGGCTTTTAATCTTTATCTTTAAAGATATAGGCAGATAGTAGTTGTCTAACCCTTTTTAATAACTGAGGTCCTTGGTTCCTTTACTGTTTTGGCTGCTTTTTCTGTATTGAAATGGTGTTCCATATCATGCTACAAAAGGAGAGCAAAGCCCTATCCAGATATGCTCATTTAGACGTCATTTCTATGCTTTTATTTCCTGATTTTACTTCTATTGTAGCCACTTTTCTCTATACAAGTTACATTTTCTCAAAGATGCAATGAAGTCTTTTCTGTACTTTCCCTGGTATTACTACATTTTGTCAAAACAACATTTTGGGTAGACTACTTTTTGCAAGTTTTTAATTCTTGCAATAATGGAATGGGTATTTTTTTCAGTTTTGATACTATTAGCAAATATCAAAGACACAATGGGCTAGAATGAAGCAATTTAGAAGGAGATTTAAAATTTAGTAAAATGAAAACTGAATATTTGAATTCTGAAATTTCAAGGATTCTTAATGAGACTACAATGTGGTACTGAGCAAAGGCAATAAAAATCACAATGATTTCCAATAAATATAATGTTTACAGAAGTAAATTTACTCATTTGAATTCACTCAATTTTTACAGAAGTGAATTTATTCAGTGTTAGTGTTGATAGTACTGGACATTTTTAAAAAATATGACAGAAAAAATTCTCCTGCTCTGACATCATATAATTATATCTATGAGAGACTTTATGCATACAATTTGTTGTGTTAAACTCCAGGAACTAAACCTTTGTTTAGGAGCTTTTCAGGCAGCACCCTTAGATTGCTGACTCTTTCTGTTTTTAATGTGGGTTTGACAGTAGAGCAGGGGATCAGGAATGTTTTCTTAGTAGTGACAGAAGCTCCTTGCTGCTCAGTCTGTTACAGGGAGAACCATGTAGAAGTCAAGATATCTTCAATAAAAACTTTAGAAAACATGTTTCCAAATTTTAGAAATGAAGCAAAAAGTCTTCGCTGCTGCTCAAAAGCTAATTTGGTCAGATTTAATTCAAAAAGAATTTTTACCTTCACAATCAGAAGGCTGTTTGCACTAACTGAGCAAACAAGGATTCTCCATGGTTCTTCTGCGAGAGCAACTGTATTATTAATTCCAGCGCAGTACCAGAATGATGAAAAACTGAGCAGCTGATATGTACTGTAGGGATGGTAAAACTTTCACTCTATTGCACAGTCTGCTGCAACAAGACAGGTGAGGAATAAAAACATATGCTGAGATTGCTCAAGTTTCTTCTGTTACACTTTGCTTCAAAACAGCTGGCTGTTCCTGAGAAATTCTGCTTTCATACAAGACACCACAAGGAGGGAGGAAGGCTCTGGCACAGGATGAGCCCTGTGAATTCAGAGGCGTTTCAAATGATGCTCTCCTTGACAGCCTGACTTGAGGAGGGAATAAAAGTTAAATCACACTGCAACAATACCCAAATCACAGCTGTGTGAGCCAGCAAACTGTGAAAGAGGATTCCTGTGCTGCTGCTGAAGCCTTGGCTCTCTGCAGACCCACAAAACTTGGTAGGCAACAGTGGCCTTTTTTGTAGGGTGTCGGGGGCTGGGGAATATGTCCAGTGCTGGTTGTGCCACTGAGTAACCAGAAGGCAGAGAGAGTGCTCAGGGCAGAAAAACATCCTTGCAATGGTGATGTTAGCTCCAGAAAAACTAAACAATAAACAGCTACTGATGCATGACAAGCAAATTGTTAGAAAAATGATAATAGGATTGTGTTTCTTGAGAATCTGCTGTTTCATTGAGAATGAAGTGCCTTAAAATAAATCTGGTTTCAACATTTTTAGAGTCTAAGTACTTCTGGTTTAAAAATATGCATGATGATTAAATATACATATAATGAGTAATAATCAAGACAAAGCATACTGCTGGGAAAAAAATCCAAATGTTATATTCTGAAATCCTATATTAAATGAAATCACTATGTTCTGTTCTGCTGCAATCTCAGGCAAAATTGTCTGTATTTTGCAGGGTTGGAACATAAAATCCATTAGGAACTGGCTTCAGCAAGGTGTGCAATAATTTCCATTCTTGATGACATCCCAGGAGCTACCCAGAGCCTTGAGAGATCAGCCCTAACGAGAAAGCACATGACCTTACCATATCAGGGCTTCACAACAGTCAAAATCTAGCTTGACCTTCAACAGTAAACCAGGTCCCTCAGGCTAAATCCTAACAAGTCTTGCCTTCAAACCAAGGCAAAAGGCCAAAAATGCTTATCCAGGGAGCAGCAATAGAGTTGGAAAATGAGAGGTTCTTTTTGGTTTGGCAAACATCATATCTTGACCTCTGTGTTCTCACTGTGCCAAGCCATCTAATCTCCAGGAGGCAGTCCTTTTTCATCTGCCAGGCGCCAAGCTGGCTCTGCTCCTGTCAAGATCAGTGTGCAGTGCCAGGCATGTGGATTAAGGTTTAGATGTGCAAGATGACAAACCTCTCTCCTCAATCAGGATTTCAGTGAGTCACAACCCATGGCTGGGTGCTCCAAGGCCCTCAGGACCCACTGTGAATTGGACTTGCTCGCTGTGCCACCAGGGCAGCAGGTTTTCAGTTTTCAAAGCTGGGTGTATGGAAGGACACAGGGAATGTATGGTTTATACAATAAAAACAATGAAAGGAAGTATACCTATTGCTACACTGGTCACCAGTGAGTAAAAAAATAACAAAAGACCATGTAATAACAAGAAATTACAATTTTTTTTGCATTCTGTTTTTTGTTAGCTTTTATTTTTTTAGACAAAGTCAGATTTTGAAGAATTGTTTGATAATATAAAAATAATTGAAAAGTTATTTTAGAAAGGTTGCACTAAGAAGAAAGGATTTTTTTCAGTCAGAGATTTTTCAATCAAAAATTCTTGAAAACTAGCAAATTCATTGTAATTAATAAATAATAATTTTTTTCTAGTCACTGATGGCAGAAAAATTACCTGGAGCATATTACAGACAGACACCGCTTCTTTCTGAACAATCTGTCTTTTCTTCTGAACCTTTTTTTCCCCCTTATATTGAGATAGTTGTTTAAACTTTCTATTTCACTAGGAAAAGTGGGTTTTCCTATATATTAACTTAAAAATAAGCTAATAAATAAACCTAACTATTAACCTCTGGAGGAAGAAAATAATTTGCAGCATTTTTTATTATACAATACTCTCAGGCACATATTGTGATTCTTGGGGTTGATGCTGTGCAGGGCTAGACGATGGACTGAGTGGTCCTTATGGGTCCCTTCCAAATATTCTGTGATTGCTAATGTAAAGATTTATTCTATTGAAAAAAAACCCTAAATTAAAATGTGTATATATTTTGTAGGCAATTAAGATATATAGTATTTTTCTCAATATTATTCTCCCTTGAGAGCTATCATTAACCTGTTTAGACAAAATAGGAGCATATCTCTTTGTGAAGAATAAAAGGCTTTACTTTGTCTTTACAGTGGTTGGAACGAGCCATTGAGTGTCTATTACTCATTTGCCTTCATTTACTTTTTACTAAGGTCATCTTCAGTGTGGTTAATAAACAGCAAGATCATCAGTCACTTCAAAGTGCTTTCACATTCCATAGTTTGTTTTTTCTGCACTGAGCAAATGGAAGGATGATCTGGTAGAAATCAGTTACATTATGACTCATCTTTTATGTGACCTCCTTGAGAGGCCTTTGGGTAGCACATGGGCTTTCCATACAATAGCCAACATAAGTTGGCTAACAAAGTCATTAAAGTCATTAAAGTAATGAAAAATAATTAAAGGCTTTGTGTAAAGAAGGCTTCAAACCCAGAGAAGTAGAATTTCCTCTGATCAGTATTTTCTTTTTCATTTGTGTTACAGGCAAGTTATTTTGCATCCAGACTGGCTTCTTTATGAGGAATAGCTGAATTGATTTCAGATATGGTCTTGATATCATGAAGACTTTTCTTTCTACTGTCAAGGAAAAAAGTCTGGACTGCAAAATTAAGGTGAGGAATTTTTCCCTCCTTGCTGTTACACATAATATCTGCTTTCACTGGCCCCAAAACAATATAACCATTGTTTTTCATTGGTGGCAATTTGCTATCTCAAGACTTTCACATTTAGGGTTAGTAGCAAAATAGTTACTAGCCCAGGAAAAGAAGCAAAAAAGTCTTGATCCTGGTAGGCAGAATTGCCAACATATCCCCTGAAAAGTGCAATTTCTTCTTAAAGATAGCACTCTTTGATTTACTTTGGTCAATGGACATAGATTTGTCTTCTTCTTGAAAACTATAAAAAGTACATCCAGGCTTTATCACAAAATATTTTTCCTCCCAGATTCACAAGATGTTGGATCTTCTAGAGAGTACCGACAACATTTCCTTGTCGTCCTGACAAGATGCTATGTCCAACACTGTGTGTGTATCCCCTTCTGTTCCCACCTCCTCCCTGAAGCACTAGTGGTGGTCTTGCTGCATGTTTCACAGATGTTTCTCCCACTCAACTTCTCAGTTGTTTTTCAAATGGCTTCTTACAGCAAATGATTCCATGTGTGTATGCTCCTTCCTTTCTGCTGACACCTTTTCTTTCTATAAAAACAATCTGCTGCTGCCTTTCAGATCTAGAGAGACACCATCCCATACCACAGACGCCGTGTTTTTAAACTCTGGCATTGGTACACATGGTCAGCAGGCAATACCTCACTCCTGTCTGTTCCTCATGACTAACAATGTTGATGTTTTGTTCTTTCAATCTTGTTTCCCTCTGTTACCCTTATATACTGCATTTTTTTCCCCTTTTCCTGTTACTCTGCTTTCTTTGTACTAGTGGCCCATATGGGATCTCTTCATCTCTCACTACAGCTTGGAGGGAGAAAACCTCACACACTGTTTTAGCCCCAGTAACTACAGGCAACATGTATGCCAACTTTTTCTTGTGCTCATGAACTGAAAAAAATCAGCTTTACATTTTCTTTATACACACACACACACACAAGCAAAATTAAATTCACTTTCTACAGCTGCTCACAGTACTGGTTACTGACTGACTCTAAAGAGACATGCAGAATCAGAGCTACCATTGAGTTGACTGCCTTTATAGTTTGCATGTGATAAAAGTTGAGCTGAGATTATCTAGTCATTTCCACTCTGAAAGGTGTTCTCATTTGCCTACCATAATCCCTACAACCAAAATCTTTCATATCAAGTCATGACTGACCAAAAGGGGACTGTGATTCAGCTTGCTGCATCAATTTCTTGATATAATGACAAAGGAAAAATCCCCACAAAAGATCTTGCTTCCTCCTTGTAACTGCATCATTTGGGACCAAATTTATATGAAATTGCTCTAGTACAACTGAAGAAATCGGCACAGTATTTTGCTGAATAAACTCAAGATTTTGCCAAAAAAACTGTTGAACTAGCACATACTACAGAATACATCACTGTCCACCTTTATACATCACTGTCCACCTTTGTGTATGTGTGCACATTGCACACACATATATGTATCTTAAAACTGTTTTATGACTATGACAGCATTCACCTGGAGAGTTTTTTTCTATGATTTGGTTTGGAAGTAGATCAGTGATGGTCCATGACAGTCATATCTATAAATGTAGGACAATTTTTGTACTTTTGTCAACAACATCAACAAATTTCCATTTCTCCCCCATCTTAGTTTCTCTCCAGGAACATTTGGTTGACCATGTTTTTACAACCAAAGTCTTCTTTGACAATATTAAAGTTTTTTTTTTTTAATGTAAAGAATGGAAACAATATTATATGATTTTCCTAAGTCACAGAACACAAGAAGTCAGTGATAGCTACAGACTGTATTCAAATTTGGTGGTCTGCACTTCCAGGTCTGTGGACCAAACCATGTAACCTGGTAATATTAACATAGGGTATTTTCACTTTATGCTGTAGTATCATTGATTCATGTCTATCTTCTCAGCTGCAAAGATGTGTGGTTGCTGTGCAGATAAAAGCTGCAGCTGATAGCTCTTTACGAATGCAGCAGTAATCTGTCTTAGCCTAAATTTGGGAAAAATCTAAATAGTGCAGTGTGTTTAGATTTTATATGGGCAGACCATATAAAGAAAAGTGTATTTCTGCTTTTAATGGAGGAGAGGGAGTGACATGTTGATAGCTGAATCAACACTTTCATTGCTCTCTTTCAAGTGTAGCATGAGAATTTCTCACACTGCTGACAAGATGTCCAGATGCAGGAGAAATGCAGCCTCAAAGATTTTCCTGGTTCTGTTTTTGTCAGACCCAGGCCACAGCCTTTAGTGGATGGAAGACCAGTGATCCTGTGCACTCTTCCGGCACCTGTTGGGCGTTAGATTTCTTTCCTTTTGTTCATTTTTACTTATGGACCTTTTTTCCCCATAAGTTGCTAGGAAATATTAACGACTGGGTTCTTGAGAAAAACACAAGTGGCCAAGCTCAGAGGAGGAGGGCATCTGGGTGCACTTCTCGTATCTGGGAGTTGCTCTTCAAGGGGCAGAGGTACCGCAGGAACTGGGCTGGGACAGCTGCTGGATCGCTCGCTCTGTCTCGGCTTTGGAGGAGGATGGTTGGAGCTGCTGCTTGGGGAGGGAATTTGCCTCTCTCACCGAAGCCCAGCCCGTGGCTGCTTCTTCTGCCATGCGGTGAGTCTCTGCTCATGAGAGCAGCCATAGAATGGGACCTTACTAACACCCACCTCACAGGCAGAGGGACCTGTCCACCCCCCGGGCACCGGGATCCTGCGCCCGCCTCTCCCTGCTGCTCTCTCCACCAGCTGCCCTGCTCCTGTGCTTCTTTGGCACGACTCTGAGCTTTCTCTGCACTGTAGCCCCGCACCCCCTGCCTGCCGATTCATCTCGCTGTCCCAGCTCGCTGCTTCCCAGAGCCCTGCTGGGGCGCTGGCCTCAGCTGCCCCAGGGTTTGTGAAGCAAAGCCTCTCTCCTCCCTCCCTCTCCTCCCTCCCGTCCCGTCCGGGCCCAGCCGCCATTTCCACTCCCCGAGCCCGCCCGCAGCGCCCCCTGCAGGCGCGGGGAGCCTGCCCGCCGGCAGCCAGCAGCGCCCCTGCTGGCCGTGCCCGGAACTGCAGCGCGGGGGCGATGCGGCGGCCGAGAGGCTGGGCTGGGTCGCGGCTCTGGGTAATGCGGAGTCGTCGTTTGCTTTATTACACAGACGAGTAAAGAACTGTTCATTCTATTCTCATGTCTCTTCCTGAGAGCCCCTTTATTTCAAATTATAATTTGGAGGGGGTGTTTTGCGTTTTCCGTTTCAAGGGAGGCGCCTGCCTTCCTTAGCAGACACCTATCTTTCAAGCCAAGACAGCACCATTACTGCTATGTGCATTATGACGCATGTATCGCTTCACATTAGGCTTAGATCTTCCTTTGCCTAGAATCCCTTCGAAGTATTGAAAGCAACAGCATGAAAATTTGCGATTTGAAGGATGAACATTTCTATTCTAAAACTGCTTAGACTAAAAGTGTGTTATTTTCTCATTTAGTTTTATTGTGTGCACATAAAAAGATAATAGCACTACATATTTGTCCCTGCTTTAACCGCGATTATCTCCAAGATTCTGATAGTTTTTAGGAGCCTCTTCAAGAAACTACTTATGAAAAGCTCTGTAGAAATGCCATACAACAAGCAGCCTCATCTGGCAAGAGACCAGTAGTATAACATTGTCCAGCTTAAGGCTACTTGTAAAACCTTGACTGATTTCTCCAGGCCCAAGATTTCCCTTGAGGTGATGAGGACAATGAACCAGGTGGGAGATACAAGGGGATTGCGCTTGCTTTCAGAAGAGGGGATCAGCAATAGTAATGACAATAGACACAGTTTAGGCAAAGTAGAAAAAACATAGCAATGAAAAGAAGTAAGGACTGACTAAAATGAACAAAACTGACAGAGTATTACTTGCCTAACCAAAGATATTTGCATCAATATATAAGATATGTAAATGAATCTACGAGTTGTAGGGAAACATTTGCAGCTGTGGAGGATGTTAAAATGTGTATTTTATTCGATGAGATGAGAGAACAATGTGCAGAGAATAAAAACAATTGAGTTTCAAGAATGCTTTGGCAGCATTCAAGCACTGCCAGTTGTCATCATCGTAAGAAGATAAAGAAAAAAACAATGTTTTTCTTAAAATTTAGTTGGTTCTTTTTACAGTGAGATCTGTTGTTATACAAATGCATATTTTTCTACTAGCATCTTTCAAATCAAAAGCGATGTTTCACAACATATGTAGATTTGTATTTTTATGGGTAATATAGTTTCCCTAATAACCTTTCCAAGTGAAAGATTCTGCCTGATTCAGAGAAAGAGACTATTTTTTGTAAATTTGATTAGACACCTAAACTCATCAGTCCGTCTCTGAGCCATGTACCTGATTATGCAAAGGTATATGCAATACATTATGCGAAAGCTGTTTAGCTGGGATTGTATCGTGGCTGTAACCAAAGTGGGTTTAGAGATAATGAGCTTGCATCCCCGAATACTTAGGATCACAGTCTACTCTCTAAACTGATGATGCAGCAGCTGCATAATGCAACAATGTAATTTATTCATGTAATATGTACAATATTGCTGTAATAAAAAGCCCATTGGCGTTTCCTCTAATTCTCTGTATGAGCACCCTGTTATTAGTAGCTTTGCAAGTCAGTATTTCAGCATTTTCAAATTCTGGCTATTTATAAGTTTCAAACAACAATATTTTAAAAAGAGAGAAAAACCCCAAACGACCCAAACAGCTTTATATGGTGTGAATTGTAAATCTGCTCACACTGAACTGAAACCTGCAGCTTTTTTGATCAATGCAATCAGTAAACATAGCAGGAAAAAAAACTCTAAGCATGTCAAAATTACCTTAGTTACTGAACTTTTTTTTTTTCCACAGATGGATGTCTTGATGTATATGAAAAGAAGTTAAGATAGAACAATGAGGAAAAACAAGTATTTGGTGGAGAAAACTGTAAGACCCCTGATCTTGCCACCTTTTTCACTCAATGGTGAGTGTTGTTTATCATATGAGTGTTTATACTGAATGTAGATTTCTCTGAAGTAAATTTGAATGGGAATGTATTAAGTTTCAACAAGAGCCTACATGTAAAGATAGTGAAGAAGAGCATTGCAACAGACTGCTTGGAAATTAATCTGCCAGTTTAACCCAGTAACCAACATGCATACTAAAACACTGATGTGAATTGAAAATAAAATAACCACGCTTGACAGATATAATAGTTTAAGTGATTTCAAATTAACCACATCCCACTGACCGCAAGTGAAAAATGTGTTCATTCTCCCGCAATGAAACATGCTCTAGGGACTCATTATACAGAGTGGAGTAAGTAAAACCAGAGTGGAGTAATTGGTGCAGAGGAGGAAGGAAGAGTGACAGATATTTAATGATTCTCAAACTTATACATAAAGATACCACAAGCACTTAATATATTATTTTTCTCTTTCCAATCTATAAATATTATAGAGTTAAATCTATATTGTGCAGTAATTGCAACACTTGATATAGCTGTTAGGAATAATGAATCATGACAAAGATGCATCAGGCAGTAGATGAAAAGAGTCAATAACAAACAACCTTGTGCCAACATGTGTGCATGAATTATGGCTGCTCTGCTTCAGGAGAACAGGTGAGATAAAGCCAGGGCATATCTATTGTCCTAACTGTATAAAATTGCTTTCTAAATGGCAAAAATTCCTTAAACATTTTGAGCATCATGAAATCCAAACTGACATGAGTTGCTCTCTTTTCACATATGCTGAGGTCTTTACTTGTAGAAAGTCTGCAGGATAGAAGACATACATGAACGCATTGATCCCTATCCCTCTGCTTCACAGGGAAGAGGAAGTCACACATTCTATATCATCTTTATCCTCTGTGGCAATTTTGGGTTCACTTTCTAATCTTCTGTATCTTTGAGTAACAGCTAACAGGGAACACAACGCTCACAAACTCCAGGTTATGAACAGCTGAGAAGTAGCTACACAGTCAGCTGGCAGTTAGTGTTCATCAGCATTTCTGCTGTGGCTCCTGGCACAGGGTGTACCATACTCTGCTACAAAGCCAACAGAAGCAAACACATAAAAATCTCCATCCAGAAGTCCCTCACAACCTGAATTGTTTTATGATTTTAGGGATAGCAGAAAGTAATTTGTACTACATGTAGTTAGAATGAGGAACCACAACACGGGTTTAAAAAAATTTTTGTCCTATCTTGTTACCTACAAGGTCATAGACAAACTATAAAACTTCATTAATGTGCCATTGCCAGTTACTAACTCTACCACTTTTACTTATTTTGGCCACCTTGTCTTTGTGCTGTACAAGGCAATCTCTTCAGCCAAACGCTTTGTTTACAAAGATGCTGATTATATGGTATCTTATATCTGATCACAGAAAGAATACGAGTGAGGAACCATTAAGAAAGGTTTTAGCAGTATGCACTGAAATTGTCCTGAGCCCTAGAAGAGGAACAAGAAAGCCTTTGTACTGTGGGTTTGTGGTGTGCCTGGCTGTGACAGCTATGTGTAGCCTGTTGAGGAACCTTGGCTTTAGAAAGGTAAATTTTTGTGATTGGATCTGGATGAGAATGTGGGGATCTGTCTGTGTAACTGCACTGTCAACACTGTATAAAGGCACTCACTTGTAAGGGCTGGGCTTCTGGGTTTTTCTGCAACAATTAACTTCTGCTAATACCTCCAAAATTGTGGGCAGGTTGCCAGCTGAGATCCACTTTTGACAAGAGAACTCTCCTCTTCCTTTCCTGGCTCCTGAATTGAGTGACCCTTGAGGGTTTAAAAAACTATCTAAAAAAGACAACAGCCAAAAAGTGTTTAGCAAGTGCATCAGGGCACAGACCCCAGCTGATTAAGGCCTTGATTTTTCCATTGTCTGAATATCATACAATGCTTGTTTGTTGTTATTTCCTTATCCAAAGATAGCATCACCAAAATGGTATCCCCAGTCTCCATCAAGTTTAGCATTTATTCCAAGACTGATTCAGTGGGAATAGAGCCAGTCATTTTAGGCATTGTCTATTTTGGGATATAAGTGAATGGAATGCATTTTATAATGGGGAGTTTATACCGTCTCTAACTTATGAGTTGCCTAGATGGATTAAAATATCACTGTAAAAGGATCAAATCTCCTGCTGACACTTGTTTTCCCTCCCATGTTCCTAATCAGCAAAGTTAAGACAGGCATTCTCTGTTTGGAAGAATCCTGTGTTGTGGTGTGCTCCTGCAACTTGGAGATCTTTCACAGGAGTGTGAAAGACTTGTGAGACCTGGGCAATTCTGTGCTGCTGTGAACACAGCGTGCTACCGTGTGTAAGACTGATCCTTCATCGAGGACTTACAGCTCTCTTGGCTACCAAAATAAAAACCC